TTCAAAAAAAAATTACCTTATTAGAGAAGAGTCATTTGCCGAGGCCGTAGGATTTTTTCGACATTTTTTCGGTGCTCGAATCTCTCGTTGAAAGTTCAGGAATTTAGAGAGATAGAAAGTTTAGAGAGATAAGGGTTAAGGGCAAAAGAGTAAATGAGGGGGCGGTGACTAGTAAAAAGAGACAATGAATAGTAATTGAGTTGTTATTTCTTATCTGGTATTTGTTAGGGTCCCTACCAAGTAGGAAGATATAATGAAAAGCATGAAGCTAAAAAGTAGTGTGTGGCTTTTTTTTTCTGAAGCGTTTATTATGAAACTTCAGCGTCATTTCTCTCCGAGTAGCCAGGCCTTGAGACAATTTTAGAGTAAAAAAAAAAGAAGATAATTTCAGAGTTACACCCACACATAATTTGTGCACATAAATAAAGTATATATATGATATGTATCACATAAAATACAGGACCCTAACCTACCACATGAAATAAACCAAGATTATTATATTTTCAAGAAATCATAGAGTAGAATAGCGCCTCGTGAAGAGAAACCTCCTAAGTTAATTATGAAATAAAACCAATCAATAGTTTTCCTAGGCAAATTATAATAACAACTATCCTCTACAAAATCTTGGCTACTACGAACGAGATGAGTAATTTTTTTCAAAAACCTCCGGTTAAATTAAATAGGCAATTGAATTAATTTTTTATTTCCAATGGCACATTCACTTCACAATTTCCTTCCACGCGTCTAAACACGTACATAAACAGCAAACAAAAGATAAGGCAAAGGTCAAATTTACTACCTTACACCAAAGATCTTGTAATCTCACTTTCAATCTACTTTTAGTTACTTTGCAAATACTAAATTTGTTTATGATAAAACTTGAGTGACCACCACTACTATTGAATGAGGTATCATCAATTAACCCTAAGCAAAAAATACAATGCAGATAGTCCACTAAAAATTCCCCATAATAAAATCATGGTGCTGATAATCAACCATATAGCACAATACAATTGGACAGTATAATAGAATATTTAGCAACAATTCTCAACCTGAATAGAAAATGAAAATAAACTTTGACATGATCTCTAAATTTAAACATCAATTTGCACAACCAATGTAAACTAGAATTGCTTCCCCATTACTTTATAAGCACTTCCGGTACACATCTGGGCATTTTAACCTATCCCGTTTACAAACCCATTTGCACATCAACTGGAAGAAGAATAACCGGCAATTACAAGTTGGCCATTAAGGCTTGTGCAGCCTGAAGCCAAACACCCTTGGGACATAACTCTGTACTGGCTTCTGAGGCTTGAGGTGTCCGTATGTCATCAAGAACAGGTGTGGGAATGTAGTCCCAAAATATGCTCCGTCGATATCTTTGCAAGTCAAGGGAAATTGAATCAATAAACTACAGCATTCCCTAAAAGCATCACAAGAAAATCAACATACCATAACTAGAAAGAGCTTGTTTCCTTAGGAACTATAATAAGCATATTCATGGCGAAAAACAAGAAACTGAGCCAACCGTATTCCATAGCATCAGCTGGGAGAAACCAATAGGATGAAAGAGAAGGACCCAACTCAAGTATGAAAGCAATAAAAAAATAACAGACAAAGTGCAAAGGATACTGCCTTGGTACTTGGATCGGGGATAGTAAATGTCTTCACATTTGGGGCAGTAAATCTTCACGGTACTTGAGCGCGGTATGTCTGATTGGCCAACTGGAAGGCAAGGCTGTCCACAGCAGTAAACTCTAGGGCATCTTCCAAAGTCGTAGTTTTTGTACTTCTCTAACTGGTACAGGTTCCAGCAAAAGATGTCAACAAAAAGGATAAAACTTTACCAAAAAAAAAAAAAATACAGAAATCAAAGGGTGAATCTTTCTAATGATGATACCATTGCTGCCATTCCCTTGCTCGTCAAAACGTACCGGACATGAATAAGGCCATACAGCATTTCTGCAGCTGATTCAACCAATTCATTTTGTTCCTCGGTGAACATGTCACCTGAATAAAACCCAGCATGGAGTAAAAGTTAACACCAAGTTACTTTTTTTTGGAAAACATACAATTTTCCAGACATGAAAGTAACTATTCCAATGAAGCAGCTTGAAAACTTCTGGACAAACAACTTGTCCTGTAAACGCTGAAACTTTGTCGAGAAAGTAAGCAACTACTCACCAGAAATATTTATAATAATAAAAAATAAGCATTATTAAGCTCCTTCGAACTGACATAATGCTCACCATGAGACGACTCTACATCCAGAATTAGGTCAAGCGCATAATCATAATACGGCACCTGACTGCTCAAACCACATAGATTGAAATCATCTTGAATATATTCATCATCAACTTCACAAAAGAACTCGTTCCCGCGCAAGTTGCAAAACCATGAAACCCAAGATGTATCATCTCCATCAGAGCCGCTGACATCTGAATCTTCACTATCAGTTTCAGATTCCTCTGCAAAACGGGAAACACATTGCAATCATAAGCTAAATACATACGCCACATAACAGATCCCAAAAAAAGAAATAAACCTGCTCATATGCATATATACGTAATTCACATAATATAAATGAGCTTTCAAAGATTCTATGAAAAAATATAATTGTCATTGAATCGTTACTGGCTTACTGCGATGGATAACTAAGTGGACTATAAAGTTCTTAACTAGGTTACCCTTAACTAGTAGTCCATATAAATTATGGAATGTGAATTCTGATATATGATTTATAATTATGAGAACAGTAAACAAGTTGCTTTTGATGCACAACAGGCAAATTTTCATTTCGGCGTAACATTTATCCAATAAAAATCATCAACAGTAAACAGAATTTGGTGTTTTATCTAAATCCCATTATGGGTGTGGCAACTGGCAAATAGACCTCATCACTGGTGGAGATACCGACATGGATACTTCCATCCATTTAAAGCGTGAATGGAGCACAAAACATCACTTGCACTTCACATGCCTCATAAATTGTTATTTAAGCATAAAACTGTCATAACACAAAATTAAACTCGCGTGCCTAAACTAGCGAAAGTCACCATTTCCCTGCCTCTCGCTTAAAACCTGGCTTTCGAACCTTAGCAATCATGTATAAAAAAAAAAAAAATGACTACTGAATGTGACTTAATCTAGACAGAACAATCCATGACAGCTCCCAATCCCATCCCAGAGAGTCTCTGAAAAGAGTTTGCATTACTAGCTAGAAGTTCTTAAATCATGCAATTGGGCACAGAGATAGGCCAGGTTCAAGAATGAGATATTCTGCCATCTATATGACTTGATGCTTTTTGGAAGCTCTAATATCCCATAAGTTCCTGAAAAGCTGCATCGAGAAAGCATAATCACAATCCAAAACAACCCCAATACTTCATAGCCCCATAATCCTGTTTTTATCATAGAATACAGATTTTTCACAAAAGAGGTGCACACACAATCCATGCTCATTACAAACACGAACATAGAGACCCTAAGTCCTCATAAGGTTCTATGATTGTAGCTGAAATGGTTAAAACAAAATATGCTTAAATCATCCATGGCTCAGTCCCAACGAAAAAAAAAAAGAAAAAATGACAACCACAACAATCAATCGAAATCAAACACAGCACAAAATATATCAAAGCTAACCAAACTTCTGGAAAAGCCAAAAAAGCATAATAGTACCCTCAGAGAGCTTGTTCTTGCTGGAGCGATTGTCCCGGGGATCAAAATGCTTCCCGGCAGCTGCTGACGTGGACGGAAAGGCGCCAGCGGAACCCTTGTTCCTGGAGTCCGACGGAACCGATTTCTCGAGGTGTTTGTCCAACGCATCGTTGATTCGCTTCCGATCCAACATCTCCCCGCCGCCCTTTGCTGAGACCCCTCCGACTCGATCTCTGTACATGTTCGCACCAAATTCCGGCGACTTGGAACCCGGAAATCTTGGACCTGCCCTAACCAATATATCTATGTGCGTAGACTCGTGAGAATTTCACTGAAATGAGGTGTGTTTCATTGTTTCATTTGTTTGCAGAAGATATTTATTTGTTTGTATTCCTGATTTTATTCATATGGATTTTTATTGAAATCGTTCTAACTAATTACTAATATATGAGGTAATTTGATTTGTTAAATTGATTCATCTACTCGTGTATAAAATTATGTGTTGTCAAAAATACTGATTTGTCAAATTACCTTTTTTTTTAACCAATTTGTCAAATTGATTTATCTACTACTAGTGCGTGGCCCATGCGATGCACGGAAAAATAATATTATAATTATATTATAAATTAAATATATAATATTGTTAATTATGATTTATTCATTATTTTTAAATTAAACCAGGTTGGACACAGTCCAACCGGATGGACCGAAAACCGAGTTATAAACAGTGTTGTTCGCTTGAATAAAATATTTACTATTATATGATAGAGAAAAAAATAATTAAAAAATAACTGTAAGAATCATATCATAATTATTGAAAAGAAAAAGAAAGAATATCTAAATATTATTAAATATTTATTTATACACAACGTTCGTAGTTTTTCTATCGTCACAATCTCCAGACTCCTCCGATTCCTGACTCTAGATAGTGTCACTTATAACTGTCCATGACTAAATACATGGTTCTTTAATAATAAGTCGACGAATTTGAGAATTTACGAACGAACAACTAACATGAAGAATTAATTAATAGTCAATATAATAAATACATAATAATAACTATATTTATTATGGTGACACACATACAATAATAATAAAAAAAAAAATACCAGGTTCTTGACTGACGGAATGCGCATTATTAGGAATCGTGTTTCTTTGGAACCAAGGTGTTGCCGTAGACACACATGATAACACAACTACAATAATTAAAACGATCGAGTTACATTTTGTAATTGTGCAATAAAATTTATTGTTCATAATTTCAGATATTTATACCTTTTTCACAATATTTAAATTGATATAGTTAAATTATGCAATAAGATTTATTGTTAAAAATTTAAGATAATATTTAATTTTTCAACATCAGTCGGTTGGACTGGTAGGATCGATACGATTTTTTAAATAAATTTTGTTACATTTAAAATTATTTTAAATAAAATTACATATTTAAATAAAATAGAGATTTATAAATTGTTTATCAATTAGTTTTAACATTTGAATTATAAATTGTTTAGATATTAAGTAATATATTTATTTAAAATTTATTACAAAAGGTACTCTATATATATATATATATATATTAAAATGTATATATATTGATAGTAAAATGTTTATAAATTCAAATCTGAATAAACTACAAATGATTTAATAGAGTAACTTGATCGTTTCGATGATTGTTCGATTCTGAAAGCCATATTCACTGCACATTAATAAAAATTATAATAAAATATTATTTTATTCACATAAATATTAATAAAATGATATATAAATATTCATTAATCATTAAACATGTTGTCATATAAACTTATTGTTAATATGATTATTTGAAGTTTGGGAAATATTAAAAATTGAATTAATAAATAAATATTGTTGTCATATTCACATGGTAATTCTTATTAAAACTTGAAATGTATTAACAGGCTTTGAAAAATAGTTAACATGCTGTTACATGTTGAAAAATTTATGAACAAAGCCTCATAAATTGAAAATCTTGTTAACATGTTGTCAATTTTTAATGAACAAAATCTGCTATCATTTCAATTTGAAGTGAAAATCACGTATCTATATAACAAAGCATGTTAATCACTCTTTTAATAATTTGTTAATATGATTATTAGGGAAAAAAAAAGTTACTAACAATGGTAGGTAATTAATGTTGACTGAAATTTGACTTTTCATTTTTAATAAATGGTAATTCTTATTATATATATATATATAAATATATATATATATATAGATGTGTTGACGTGTACAATTAATTTTCATAATATTATAATAAAAAATAATAGGAGTGGTTAATTTTTCTCATATGAATTTAAAGTAACCTAATTTCTACTTCAATCAGGTATTATAACTTATAAGCATGAATGTATTGTATTCATCCATCTAACAAATATTTGACCAAAACTCCAACTCATTTGAATATGTGGATATTACTTTACTAAGTATATAAAAATTATGCATATATAACATATTATTTGTAAATGCTAAAATCTTTTTATGTCAAAAGAAAAATTATTTCCTTTGTAGCTGTTTAAAAATCTAAAAAGCACCACCGAATTGCATTCCACATATTTCTTGTTTCCTCCTATGAACTAGTACAATACCCATGTAAATACACGGGTGTTGAATTATGAAGCATATGTAAAAAATAATATTTTTTAAACTAAAATAATTTAATTTTACATAAAAATTACTTTGGGTTTTAATTAAATTTTTAAATTATATTTTTTAATCATAATAATTAAACACCCGTATATTAAATGAAAATGTCAACTCATATTGAATTTTTTTACTTATATTATTTACTATTATTAAGTAAAAAAATATATATCTTAAATAAATAGAAATAATATGGTGATATGTATATGCATAAGTGCATACTATGTTTGTTTAATATTAAGCAAAATAGATTAATTTTATACTTAATTAGATGCCTAATACATCAAGTGCCGTATTTGTCGTGCTTCACAATTTTCTAATTTTATATGCAATTTTAAAATTTAGATAAATAATTATTTATTTTTATTAGATTGATAACATACCAATTAGATTTGAAATAAATATCATTTTTAAAAGAATACATATCAATTTCAATTACTTTATAATATAATTTATAGTTTTATTTGATATGTTTTAATTTAGTTTGATAAATAAACTAAATTTAATTTATAAGAATATATATTATTATTTTGTATTATATATATATAATATGGATGTCAAATAAAAAATCGTTAAAAGATAGTTAATTTGATATATCATATATAAAAAAATAAAATATAAACAAAAAAGTTATAAAATCTTTAAATAAAAAGAAGAAGAAAATTTATAATAACTAATGAATGAATTAAATAAGAGAATGAAATGTAATGTATGGTAATCTAGGAAAAAAATATATAAAATTATTTATGGTAACTAATTGTAGAAGTAAAGAAGAAAAAAATCAATCATGAATTTAGTGTGATAAAAAATACCAATTTATATTCAATCCTAATTTCAAAGCATATTTTTTGCCAAATAGGATTTCGAAGCGTGAGAAATTAAGACGTAGGCTCAACCCATTCTGAAATTATATATAGAGGGGATAATTAATATAAATACCCATTTGAAAAATTTAAAAACATTAATTCTTATTTTCATAAATGTTAATCATCTTTTGCAACCATTAACCATAGTAAATGTGTTCCGAAATTTATAAAAGAGCCAATGTATGTTATCATTGTTATCCAATTCCTCTCAAATACTTTTACACTATATATGCATTCATGCATTTCGTTTAGTATTTTTGTGTAATTATACACGTTAGCTACTTAATTGGAATAGAATTAGCACAAATAGTATATATAATAATTGTATTAATTTTTATCCGAATCAAAAGCCGAAGCATGTAATGTTGTCAAGTAAACTTCCAAAACGTGCGATCCAGCCATTTAGGCTCAGTACGTTTTCAAATTGTATTAAGGGGGATAAAGTATTGTGAATTATTTGTATGCATATATTATATAATGATTTTCTTGCACTTTTTTGCAGGCCAAATTTACAATTAAGGAGCTGGAATATTTATTTTCTCAAATTGCATTTATTATATTGGATGGAATGTATATTTTGGTATGTATTTTTTTTGTGAATTATTTATTAATTATTTAAGAATTTCAAATATGTTTTTTATTTTCCAAAAGAAGTTAATTTAAATGTATCTAATCACGTTAAATAGTCAACACATTATATGGTCAGCTGTAAGTAAATCAAAATTTTTGAAGTTATTAGTATGTTAATTATTTAATAATTAAATGAGAGGTTAAATAAATAAAAAGTAACAGTTTTTTGAGGGAAAATGTTATATTGCCATATATGTATAATTTAATAGGTTTTAGTAAATACTTATGAGTCTGTAATTATATATATATAGATTAAAGAAAACTAAAAATTATGGTCTTACTTTAATTCTTTTTTAAATATTAGTCTTAATGGCTTGAATTTAATCTCGACATGACATTAAATGCAACCAAGTGACCAACCACATTATCAATGTGTGTAATTATTTGTTAATAACTGTAATGGCTAATTCAATGCAATAATTGCAGTTCATTTAAATTTGAATTGTTAATCACAGCTCATATTTCAGTATTTGCATCACTTTCATCCTTTTTTTTTTTTTNTTTTTGGTTGCTTCCAACCATTGATTTGTGGATTAAGTGACATGACTGACATCATAAATACTCAAGGTCCAAAAACTCATCTTAACATTAATATCACCAAATTATCTTCTGGTAGAAGTAGATTATCTCAATGTTTGTTGGCCTTTTGTTTTGCATTTCAGTTATTTTATTTGTTGTGTGAGTGAGTATACATATTGACTATTGACATTCATGCACTCACATGTATACCACTCTTATCTGTCCCTCTTTGTTGCATACAAATTGGTTTGTTTAAGATTTTTTTGTTGCTCCTGTGCTGTGATGGTAGTGACTAATGTCCACACAAAGATATTCCCACTTTGTGGAATTTGAGGCTAAGATATATATACTCCCACTTGTACACTAATCCTCAAAAATCATCCCTTTTTTTTTTCCTAGCCAAAAGCCTGACTTAGAGCGCAGATGTGATGACTGCTCTCTCTTTCCGGTATGCCTTCTGATGGGCCTTCAGAGATCTTATGGAAATTCAAAACCAGCCAAGCCAGCTCGACTATTATATATATATAGGAAAATGCTACCGTTACAGAACCATTCCGTTGAGATTTGTAACCGTTAGATCATCAGTAACCGTCAATGATAGTTGATCTAACTGTTACAAATCCCAACGGAATGGTTTCGTAACGGGATTCTAGTCTTAATATATTTTTGTATGTTATACTTCTTTTTAATCCATATATTTTTGTTAAGATTAGAAACTAATTATTGTTATTATTTTGACCCATATCTATTTGAGATTTACGAGATCAATGTTTTGTGGGTAAATTACGTAACTGCCTAGTACAAACAATTTAAAAAAA